TGAAAGGCTTAAACAGACCTTGAGCTCGTAGAGCAGGCTGTTCCTCTTCTGCTTTGCTGCGCTCTCGCTGGTGATGCAGAAGTCCCAGCCCGCAAAGATCTTGTTGCAAAAGCTTTGAAAGCGATCCTCATCCTTGATCAGGTGGCGCTTGAATCCTGCAGCGGACCTTAAAGAAAACATAAAACTTAAGGCTCCAACACAATTCATATCGGCGTCGAGTTCGGCAGGCGGATGCCTCCCTGCAAGCAAAATGACGCAATTTCCCATCACGCGTCTACGCCAGTGAGAACAGATTCTGAACTTCGCCTGAAGTACGTTGGAGTCTTTAACCCAAATGTTTGTATGTGCAAATCAACTGAATTTGTGAGAAGTTGGACTTCTTTAATACCTTTTCACAATCCAGAGGAGACTCAGGAGGAGGTATCCTAGAGTTGCGAGGAGATAGGCCAGCGGCAGTTTGTATATGACCTTTGGAAAATGGATTTCATCCTTTGTGTAGAAGCCGTATAAAAGGTAAGTCCGTTCCAGAATGCCCTGGAGATAAAGCACAATGATGAAGTCCTGAACATGGCTATTCAATCCAAACAGCTACAACATCGAGCGCAATCGTTCAAAGGCCCTCAGACAGACGGAAAAGTTGGCCACCAGTAATAAAACAGTTTTAAAAGTTGGGAGTTTCTACATCCTGGGTGAATAAAATGCTTAAAACAGAGACACATTTAAATCAAAATAGTCTTTACAGCTAACAATGTTTAGCACAGTCATTTTCCCTGTGTGTTCCAACCTGTGAAACCCTTAAATCATATCCCCTACTTTATCTGATTAACCGTGTGTAAGTAAAACATTAGCTGCATCGTACAGAAACTTACGTCACCAGATAGCAGATCCACAATATGTTCGTGATAGTTCTTGAGTATCCTGCCAGTGGTTCTTGGGTGGGTTCTGCAAACATTTCCTGTAAGAAAACGCGGTTAGATTCGGGCGCTTCGGCATTCCACCTCCAGTTTAAGCTTTATGACGGAAACAAACCAGTGAGTCCCCGCACCTTGATGCTGATTGTTGATGACATTTCTTGGGGTGGGGTCAAGGATCATGGGCAACATGACAAAGCAGAACATGACCACAAAAATGATCAGGTTGAGCGCAACCAGGAAGCGCAGAAAGGAGAAGTAGGAAAGGATCCCCGTTCCAAACATCCCTACAGACAAATGAAAGAGGACGGGTAAAAAGAGCGCGACCAAAAAAACACAGCTACGGCGTCTGGAACGAAAAGATGAGCGTTTGCTTGTCTCACCCTCTATCTGGTGGATGTCCGACCTCCAGAGCTTCATGGAGCTCAGGAATGCGTGAGCGTCATCCATCAGCCTCTTCATGTACCTGCTAGCGCCTTCCCTCCACTGTCTGCAGCTGCTTAGATCTTTCCTCTCCTCCATGCGCTGATCTCTGGCAGGTGACGCAGACAAAGAATGTTACCATCAGGCGCCGGCTGGTTACTGCTGTCAAGGTATTCAGAGGTTGGTTGGTTGGTTGGTTGGTTGGTTGGTTGGTTGGTTGGTTGGTTTTGAAACCACATAGTTTCTATTATCTGGGTTTATGCAAATCAGAAGCTGAGAATGTATCCAAGTGACTAGAGTCCTCTGTCCCTCCCTCACCTGTTGCTGCTTACCGCTTTTCCAGCTGACAGAGAGAAGGTTTTCTTCCTTAGAAAGTAATTCAATAATTTCTCCAAATTTTCTTTAAATGTTTGTGTTAATTCTGGAGTTGTTCTCCTTCAGGGGATCATACACAGCAGGGATTTCCCCACAATAAAGTTCAGACCACCGTAAATAATATTTTCAAAAATAATACAAATGAACTAAAGAAGAGAGTTTCAATTTCCTATTTATGTCATCTGTTATTGTTATTAATAACATATTGTGATAGTATTCTACTGCAGGCAAGATAAACTGAAATATAACAAAATTTTATGCTCTGAAATGTCTCTGGCACACACCCTATGCATTTGATTGGTCCAAGAAAATTACAAATAAAATCTCTAAAAAAGTGTTGTTGCTAAGTTTTATTTGCATTTAGCAAATATAAATTAATAATTTTGGTAGTTCCAGCTGACCTAAAACAAGAGAAGTTTGGTCTGATTTAACTTCAGGCAGTGAGAAAAAAAAAGTGTGTCTCTTTTTATCATTTTTAAAATATCCGGCTTCAAATGTAAATATAGCTCGCCAAATTTAGGCTTTGAATCAGATGTTAGATTGCACTTTATTTAAAAAAAAACTGTACAGTTTGTATATGAAGCATTTTTAAGGACTTTACACAAAAATCAAGCACTTTCCAATCCTTCTAAATCACCTAACTGAAATTTTCAAGGATTTCAAGCACCCACACATTCACTCAGTGAGAATCCCACAGCGGTGGTACACGCCTACTTTCTGCACGCAACCACAAAAACATGAAGCAACATGAGTTAGATTTTCTGATTACGTTAGAAGACATTCGACGGATGCTCAGGAGTTTCCTACTTGTGTCTGCGTTTTTCAGCCATGGGGAAGGGTAATTCTGAGATGGCCCGCTGTTCCATCTGACTCTTCTGCCTCTCCTCCAGTCTGTTGACCGTGTTCAACCTGCCAGAGACGCTCAGCCTCCCTTTCAAGCTCCCTCTGCTTTTGACGCTTGATGATTTTCTGCGGTACAGCAGCGACTGGTAGCTGGGAAGCTGGTCCAGCAGCGGGTTGCTGGTGATCCGTCCCCTACCGCCAATGGCGAAGACTTAAAACAAAGAAAAACAGAGTTTTGCTAATAAAAACATGTAGAAATTAGCAAGGAAAGAAACTAATTGAATTTCACAAAATAAAACTGTTTTACTAATTATGGTTAGTCACAAAAAAAAAAAAATCTATACTATTTCTTTCACTCAACAGAAAACTGAAAAGTGTGGTGTGTATTTGTATCCAGCCTTCATTAATTTTACTGCAGAGAATGAATGACTCTACCAGCTTTGCACATCTACGGACGGACATTTTTACCAGTTCTTCTCTGCCAATCAGCTCAACCTCAGTCAGATTGGATGGGTAGTTTCTGTTTAGTCATTTTCAGGTTTTACCAGAGATTTGATTTATATTTGGGTCGAGGACCTTTTTAATATACAAATATGATTTGATGTGTTAGTTTTCCCACAACATGAAACACATTCAACAGATATTTGCAATGCAGTGATGTTTGTTCTGCACAAAAACAGAAATAAAGACTTTATGATGACTTTTTGTTGTTGTTGTCATTTGTTTACATTTTGGGCTCAAATTTTGAGTTTTGAATTCCTTAATGTGTTTTTATCATAACTTATATTGTAATCTATCAAGCCATTTGACTTTTGCCTACATCATGACGCGGAGCAAGACAGTGATTTAAGAAAAATACTTTTATCAGTGGAAAAATAAGGTTTTAGGAGAAAAACCTAATGGTAAGGATTGTGAGAAAACTTGAATGGATGGACTACTAGATATGGACCAAGATAAGATGAAGATAAAACGAAAAAATATTTATTTGTCATTAATCTGGGTTAATGCAAATACATATATTTTTCCATATTCTACTTTCCTTCTTTCACGCTTAATACAATCGTGTATCCCGAACTTTTTCCCACTAGGTACGAGCTTTGTGTCATTCAAATAATAATAATAACTAATTTCAAGATAATCGTTGACAAGCAGAACAATTTTAGCAGGAATGTGATGTTAGCTCGGAGTTAGCAATGTTAGCTGACAAGCTAACAGAACCATGTTAACCTGTTGGACAAGTTCGTAAAAGTAGCTGAAGTTCATAATCACCTGAGTTGTCCTCCATTATTCCTTTGTTCAGAAGAAAAACTGCAGTTTTAACAGATTTAAAGAGCTGCTAGATAAATATAGAACCAGCAGACTTCGTTGGCAAAACACTAAAGGGAAGAAACCCTCCAGCTGTTGTCAGGAAGACAACAATCCCCACAGACAACTTCCTGAATGCGGTTACCGATCCCAGACATAATCTATGGAAGTCCGTTACTGACATTATTTGTGTTTGGTTTCATTTTTAGAGTAGTGTAATGAAATGTAGTCTTTTTTTTTATCTCATCTGGACCTGCCTTACATAGGTTCAACTAGTAAGATGTCATAACAACAGGTTTAGTCGTATTTTTCATATGCAATTTTGGTACAGCAATTGTGTTTGTTGGCTGAAATTGAGGCAATTTCAATTCCTAGTAAATTTATTCTCTTTTACTTAAATTTAAATACCTTTAAAAATTGTTTTCTGTATTCATATAAGAAAATGCCATATTTAGTATAGTCATATTTTCAATTAAATAAAAAATTGTATAGAAAAGTTCATCCATAATTCAACTCACATTATATCGATTAATTACACCCAGACGTATAAATACCTGCCTGTTTTAGGCCATGTGCAAACAACCCCAGTTTGTATACTTTAAACCTAAATCTGCCAGATGGATGAATAATTTTGAGCCCAACTATGAGTACAGTATATGGGGTTGTTAGTGTACCAGGTAGGTTTGTATTGATTTACATGTTTTACAGGCCTGTAAAATATTTTGGTATCAGGGCTTCATAAGACTTTCTTTTTTTTTTTTTTAGACAAACCATTTCCTTGTGTTTATGTTACAGATAGTTATTACATGCTAATGTCTAATTTCTAAGACGTTTTCTCTTCGTGGGGAATGTGGCTCTTCTTAGTTATGCATTTCCTTTACTTGTTAAAGTTTCTTGTCACTAAGCAACGCCTGGGTACTTTTGCACACTCTGAACTCTAAGTAGCTCACCAAAGTCTCAATAAGGAAACCATTTAAATGTTGGCTAACAGGTATAATTGTTTTTCCCATGTCAAGCTGTCATGGACACGCTTGTAATATTCAGAAGTGGACTTTTAACTTTACAAGATCCCACTTCCTGGTAGACAGAGAATATATTATCTCTCTCACGCAGCACACCCCAGGTTGGCTCACAGGTGCACATCAGGTTTGTTCTGCATGGACCGGAGGAGTCCTGACACCTTAACTACAACAATATTTTTTCATACAGTTTCCACTGGATCACTAAAAGGTAAGAAGAGTTTAATAATAATGTTTTTATTTAATGTAGCTGACTTTCTGTCAGAATCTATTTGGCCCCATGCGTGGCAGAAACCAATCCTCCTCAATGAATTAATAATGAACAGATGCGGATTAGAGCAGAAGATTAAATTACACATGCTTTCCTCAAACAATATAGCTGTCACTCTGCTTAAACCCACTTAGCTTAAACATGTGACACTGTTTGTTGAGGCCGTATTAAAGCTGAATGAGGGCTTTAATAAAGCTGAATGAGGGCAACTTAATAAGGAGGGCTAAATAGTTTTCAATAGCGTAAAATGTTTTATTCAGTTCGTTTGACTGTTTTGTCCTCTTTTTCGCAGGACTTAATCAGGACTTGGTTAAAACTCCCACTTTTTGAAGAATAAAAGGGTCTGTTTTCAAGGATCTAATGACGAGTTACAGTAATGGTGGAGTTTTTAACCCGGCCTACCATGACAGTGAGACTCTGGAAATTGACAGGAGGTTTGTATGACCAACTATTCTAATGTCTTTTTCTCTCTTCTTGTGTTGGAGTGTTCTTTAATTCTATAAAGTTTTGTCTAAAAGTCCCTGTAATATTCTATATTACTGAAACCCAGGAGGTTAAACTGAATATCCTAAAGAAACAGGCAGTGTTGAAAATGTATTTTTTGAATCTACTTTGTTAAGTTTTATGATATGAACTCAAAGGTCATGTTTGTATGAAGGCTTAACTGTTTCACTAAAATTCCTCATTGGAGTAAAAACTGGCACACCAACAGAAAATGTAAAAATTAAAGGAGTAAAAAAATTTTTTTTACAAATAAGTTTCACTGTAAAGCTATCCCACTGATGTACAAATATTTGAAAAACACTTAGCTTCTTATGAAGACTTTAATTTCTGTGTTGCAGGAAATGCAGTTTTAAAACAGGACTAGATTCTTACAAAAAAAATAATTGTTAGTACATTTTTGTTTGTATCTGAAAATATTCCATTTTGAATATCACTTCCTGATCTGATAAGGTCAGGAAGCTAATCAAGCATGTCATAATTATAAACATACGCTGTAAAACAAACAAAAAAAAAAAACAAAAAAAGTCTCTAATTTACTGGCAGCTGTGATCGGCAGAATTTATTTACGGATTTTACCGTAAATATACGGTAAACGATTCACGCATTATATCGTATTTATATTGGCAACCTCAGCTGCCAGCATTTTACCATAAATTAGAGACTTTTTTTTTTTTTTTACAATGTAGCAAGCTGAATGGGAGCAATTCATCTTTTGGCATTCAGGTCTTCCAGGACACACCAGCAGCATACCAATCCGTATGCGAGAGTAGACCCAGCCCAGTGGGGGCAGAATGTTGAGCCCGCAGATAACGGTGAGTGGGGAGCAGCTGGGGATGGTTGGAGTGGGAGAGAAAACTTCCCCATGGAGCTCATCTCCACAAGTCCTCCACTGCAGCATAACCCCAGTAAGTAAATCCCAACTGAGCTGCGAAGATAAAATTAGACCTTGTTTTTTTTTGTTGCCTTCACAAAACCTTATTTCAACAATATAAAGTCAAAAGAACAAAGTTACTTTAACAGGGCGAAGATTTAAAATCCGTCCTTGAACAATAAATATCTTGGCTTTAAGCTAACGCACAGTCACTGAATAAAATATAACATTCTTTTTTTTTTTTAGAATACCTTCATTTCTACATGCAACAAGTTCTGTTTAATTCAAGTTACAAAAGCTGAGACTGAAGAATAAGTTTGAGATTTGGTGCTACAAATGCATTTTTGGCAATACTGCTAACATTATAATATTTTCCTTCTGTATTCTTTATTTTCCCTTATATAAATAATTATTTTACCCTTCCTTTTTTTTTTTACGTGGATCTTCGAATCCGTTCAAACTTCTCACTATGTTTAGTTAGTGGCTGTTTGCTTTCTTACCTCTGTGTCTCTTTGTAACCATTTTGTTTGAACTCTTTCTTTTCTCCGCATTTTTTCATTCAGATAACACATTTCAGATTGACCCAGACTCTCAGTATAATCGCTTACCACCTGTTCAACTTCATTCTTCAATTTCAGGTAGTACAATTCTCCAATTTTATCCCTCAGAGGTTTTTTAATCACTAAATGTACTAATTTAGGATTTTTTTTGGTGATATTTTTGCTGAATGCACAGTAAATTCTGTGTGCCAGGAGCTTCTCTTAGATTATTAACCTACTTAGAAATCCCCACTGGATAATCATTAATGCAGAACCTAGACACTTACCTATCGATGAGAACAAGGAAACTGGCAGAGAAAATAAAGCAGATTGAACTTAATTTTGATTTAAGCACACACCATTTCTTATCTTACCATACATTTTGTCACATCTAAAAACACGTTTATGTGAAGAGATAAATTATATTATGTGAAATAATATCACATAATAGCATTTCCGTATTCAGCTTTTGCGGTCACCAAGTGTCTTCTAAGGTGACATGACTTTAATTTGTACTGCGAGTCTAAAATGTAAAGAGGACTCAATGACAGTATGCTGTCTGCAGAAATGAGGATTCACTCGCCTCGATATGCTGGACAATTGAAAATAAAAGTAGCTCCGATCAGGTATACAATGCCATTGAAGGCAGAAAAGGCTAATGCTGGAGCAATATTTAATTGAAGAAGCATATCATACATGATGGAAGCACAGGGCAAATATGCATTAATCTGAAAAAAGTATAATGTTAGCAAATGGATATATGATAAGCAGGCATTTGCTTTGGGTTTGTGACTTTTGTTATGCTATAAATACCTTTACAGTTACATTACAGGCCTAAAACTTTAACAATTTGCATTCATTTTTTACATTTTTGTTTGTCATAATGGATCACACACTGTGAAGTTTTTGTACACACTGTTTTGACTTATGCAGATGTCTTTATTGAACCCCCCCCCCCCTCTCTCTCCTCCCTGATCCCCGACCATTTTAATCTGACTGAATAAGCTCACACAAAATGACACAGATTGCTTAATAGTTCCTTAAAATATAGGCTATGATTGTTATGCTGGGTAAACTGTGAGAAATTATTTCAAGTGTACAGTTTTGTTCTGTTTAATTTTGGCAACTTTTCATCTTTCTTCCAAAACTGTTGTTTTTCAAAAGGTTCAGAAACAAACCAAATCAGAACTCTCACACTGGACACAGAGAGATAAAAGGTTTTTTAGTAATTCATCATTTGGTACTTACAAAGTAAAAAAAAAAATATGAACAAGGTAAATATTTTAGAGTATTTGATATAACCAGATTAGTTATAAATATACTACTACTATGCCCTACTTAGAAATATTATCAGTCTAGTGACACATTTGGCACAGTAATATTTATATGCAGCGTGGTGAAAACAGTTTTACTATCACAGCTTTTAATCAGAAATAAAGATAATGATGCATGAAAGTTGCCACATAAGTACTCAAACAAAGATGGTTACTTCTTTATCAGTGCATTATTGCCAACAGGACTAGCTCAAAAAATTCATAGGTTAGAATAAAAAAAAAAAAAAAAAAAATAAAGACAAGCATTCTATACAAATACAGCAATAATGAATGAAAATATGACGTAAATATCAGCATTGTCAATACTCAGCCATGAACACATCTGGTCTTTTTTTTTCTCCCCCTCACGTTTATACAGGCAACATGACAATGAGATGGAGAGGAGCAACAATGAGACGGATGAGTATGTTTCCTAACGCCGATCCTGCCCACGCGGCTTTCACAGAAGATGCCATCAAGAGCGAGATGGAAAATGGTGCGAGCCCGTCGCTGGGTGTTTGGTTACAGCGAGTGCAGAGTGCGTCACCCGATCTGCATACTGGGTGATGGTTCTTTCAAAGAACCGTCTTGTTGTTTCTTGTCCGACAGAGGAACAGATCCTCATCAAGGAGCTTGTTGCCCTGTCGACAACGGAGCAAATCAGGAAGATCCGGGCGCTGCCTGTGAGCTTTGAAGAGAAGAAACACGTCAGGTTAGTGGAGAGCAGTAAAGGGCGATAAACAATCTCTTGCTGCAGTCGTTCCAATGCACTCGGTTAATCATCAAACCTTTTTGGGAACCATAAGACCAAGCTTATGCAAATACTTGTTTGTTTCAATTATTTCCACTGTGACCTTGTACTTAAAGCTCTGGAGCACATGTGTCAAACTCAAGGTCTGAGGGCCATATCCGGCCCACCATAGTGATTTATGTGGCCCCATGGACTCCAGAGAACCAACATAATAAATAGAACCTTCTAGATAAGAGCTTAGTGCTTATATGTGTTCTTTATTTTCATCAGTGTGAAAAGACGTTTCATATTAATTAAATTTCAGAGGTACTCATCAAATGTGGAGACAAGCATTAATATTTTAAGAGTTTGTGAAACGGTAGTTTTTATCGGTACTTTCAGCCACAACTGGCCCTTTGAGGACATTCATCATCTTGATGTGCCCTGAAATGACAATGAGTCTGACACTCCTGCAGCAGGGAGAGATTCGGGGCATTTATAAAACAGTTGGCCACAAAACTAAAAGCTCCTGCATGGCCTTTTCTAGACCTCCTGCTGAAACACCCCTGGCCTCTGAATGCGCCGGAGGGCAGCCTGCAGCTGCCCTGGAGGGTTTGACTTTTATCTTTTAGGCCTTTCTTCTCACTTCTTCCAGCAGAACTATTTTTACATCAACATCTGGATAAAACATGCAATTACTCCATTAACACAGAAACCAATTGCACAGATAGGACTCACTGTAGGGTATTTTCAGGCTTCTTGAATTTGCAGCCTTACTTTATTAATATATAATGAACATTAAGCTCTACTGAAAAAGTCATATTTTTTCTAATGCAATCAGGTGATCACTTCATGTTTGACTCATTTGTGTGTAAGTCAGGTTTCTTACACAACACAAGGGCCAAAAGTTTTCCATACAGACTGTGTTGCTGTTTTGCACTGTATCTGAGACGTGGAATTCAAAACGATTTGTGATCTTATGTCAATGTATTTTCACAGGACACAAGCAATGGCATTCAAGTCTTCAGGACAGTCCCATCACTTCTCATCTTTAAGAGATTTTTCTCAAAATATGTCACTGGTCTGTATTTCCTTTGTACTTAAACTTCATTCAAAAATGTAACAGGGATGTGTACTTATGTGTGCTTTTGTGTTGTTTGCTTCTGCTTCAGTTGATACGAAGGTTTGGTTACAGCATAAAGTCCATCAGCCAGAGCCTGCAGCTTTGGCGAGGCATCATGAAGGAGATTGGGGGCAAATTTGGCTCCAGTGTTCTCAACTACTTTGTGCTTCTAAAGTGGCTTCTCCTGTTCAACATTTTCTCCTTCCTGGTCAACTTTGGCTTCATTACCATCCCGCTCCTGGTTTCTGACCTTTCACCCAACGTATCCCCAAACGTGAGCTTCAGAGGTCTGGAGTTACTCACCGGCGCTGTAAGTGGATTTATAGGTCTGGAAATTGTTCAGATGCCTCTTTGAAGAGTTTGTACGATTTGTTGTTGCTTGCTGAAGCTGATGTTCAGAGAGGTCCAATCAGGTCGGTTCCTTGTTTTTACAAAAAAAAAAAAAAATGTCCTACCTTTTTTATGCCTTAAGAAAATAATAAAAAAAATAAATAAAAATAAAAAAATCCTGACAGAAAGGATCATAATTCATGCATGAAAGGGTTAATGCTGAATATAATGACTTGATCAAACTAACCCAACCTTTTATTCCCCATCTTCAATTTGGCATTTATGTCTTCAGAATAACCAGTCAGTTGAAGTCTGTGTATACATTTTAATTTATAGAATTTTCAAATTACATATGTTATGTTATGTTGTAGCTAAGAAAACAATAGATTTGCTATGATTTGAACATATAGTTCTCTTCATTTGCTCTATGAATGAAGGACGGTTTCCTTACAAGCACAAATATAAGTTTGTAAAATAGAAGCTCTGTCTAAATGCATTTCTAGCTTGTAAAAAATGTATGCATATACAAAACCTACGGAAAAAGAGTGCCGTTCATATATTTTCGCCTTTTTAGGGTTATTTCAACTACACCGTCATGTACTACGGGAGCTACAGCAATGAAACATTTAGGGGCCTGGTGGATTACGACATGCAGCTCGCCTATTTCTTCACCATCTCGGTCTACATGGTGCTGTGTGGACTCGTGCTCATTTTCAGGTACGTCGTTCTTCCTTCAGTCGGTTCTTTCACCTGAACCTTCCAGCGTTTCTTCACGTTACACATAACATTTCCTGCAATCTGGCTTCATCCCAACGCAGCATGGCGAGCTCATTTAAGAAAAACTACGCCCTGGCAGACTCAGCTTCAAACAGTGCATGGCAGCTTTTGTGCAGCTGGGATTTCAGCATAACCAACGAGAAAGCAGTGAACCAGCGTAAGAACAACCTTCGAATCCAGCTGAAGGTGACTGCTGCTCTTCTGAAGACATTTGGCGAGACAGTTAACATTTAATCTTTGAAATAGCTAAATGAAATGACTCTGCAACTCCAAAAACATTCCTCCACCCATTCTATGACCACAGGTATAAAATCCAGCACCATGTGTACAAAAGCTTTGGTTCTGACATTTTTCACTGCTAAGCATCAAATGTTCAACTGTTGGTAGTTTAGTAACAAAGAATGGATGAACAACAACAACAACAACAACAACTCAGCCGCAGAGTGAAAGGTCACGAACAATCTCAAACTGAGTTTAAAATATACTGATGCTGAAGAGTTTGGACATGTATCAACTTTCTGTGGAGTGATTAGTCAGAGACCTCCAAATATCATGTTACCATCCATTTTCTGAACACCCTTGCCCCTCAGTGGGGTCGGGGGGGTGCTGGTGCCTATCTCCAGCTAACGTTCTGGGCGAGAGGCGGGGTACACCCTGGACAGGTCGCCAGTCTGTCGCAGGGCAACACAGAGACACACAACCATGCGCACACACACACACCTAGGGGCAATTTTAGACAGACTAATTAACCTGACAGTCATGTTTTTTGGACTGTGGGAGGAAACTGGAGTACCTGGAGAAAACCCATGCATGCACAGGGAGAACATGCAAACTCCATGCAGAAAGACTGGGAATCGAACCCAGAACCTTCTTGCTGCACGGCAACAGCTCTACCAACTGCGCCACTGTGCAGCCCAATATCATGTTACCTTTAAGTATTTTTTGTGTAGTATATAACGTGTTGCTGTTCAAGCACAAAATGCATAGTTAGTGCAATATTTGTTATCCATTCCAGGAGTCGCTATCGGAAAAGGCGCACAGAGAGCGACAAACAACTTCTGAACAACTGAAGCAGTACGGGATTTATTTTGGTTTCTGGCTCCTCTCCACCGGTTTAGCTGTTGGCTGTGGAGCTAGCATCTTTTATCTCTGCCAATACGAAAACGAGGTACGTAAGAGTACGCATTGTTGTCGAAATCCAGTAACAAAGACCTGTTATCACCTGGACTGAGTCCAAAGGCAACAGTTACAGCATCTGGTCAGCCATTAATTACCCTAAGTTTAGACAGGAGAGATGCGTAGACTTAGTCTCATAAACAGCGTTTATTCTCTGAGGATTGTCCCTCTGTTAACTTTACAGCGGGCTGAAGACACCGAAACCTGGTCCACACTGAAGGAAGCAGAGACACTCCTGGTTCCCTTTGTAGTGTCTTTGATGAATATGGTCATTCCCCTCTTCTTCTCCCTCTTCAACAAGTTTGAGCATTACTCCAGCCAGCGCAGACAGATTTATGCCCTGTTGTTCAGGTGAGGCGTTTAGGGGTGCAGATATCCTAAAGGTTTTAGGACATTAAAACAAAATGAACCTATGTTTCTATGTTTCTAGATTTGTTGTGGCTTGAGTCTTTCTAAGATATTTCCGTCAGTAATTTTGTCATGACAGGAAACTCGAAGGCTCTGATGCTGCATTGAATAAACCTCGACTTTGTTCAGATCTGATACAATGGGATATCGCTTAATTGACTTTCTCTATCACTAGACAATGACATATTTGTCTTTTTTTCATTCTTAGAAATGTGTTACTCCGGTTATCCATTTTGGGCGTTTTGTGCTATTACTGGATGAATACAGTGCCTCAGAAATTCACAGTATGTATTTGTCTACATCCCTTACTGCTTGTTTTTTGTAATATATCATAAATTAATGTGTGTTTATTCATTCAAAAACCTGTTTTCTCTCAGTGCTGGGAGCCCGTGGTTGGACAGGCTTTGTACCGTTTGGTCATTGTCGATTTCATTTTTCTGATGCTGGGGTCCTTGTTTGGAGAGTTTCTCAGCAAGTGAGTAGCAGATTTTCCCATTTACGTTATCGTCACTGAAGCATGGAGAATTATTGTTTAATGATAGCTGCACTGTGCGTTTTAACAGTGTGATTGGGACCAAGATACAACCACGTCTAGGAGTCCCAGAGTTCGACGTAGCCAGAAATGTCCTGGAAATCATTTACGCTCAGACTCTGGCCTGGTAAAAACATACGAGGCAGTTTTTATTTTCATTTTTTGGACTATTGTAAGAGGTGGTTCAGTAAAAGTTTATGCTTTTTCTCTTGTTAGGATTGGAATCTACTTCTCTCCTCTGTTACCTGTCATCCAGATCCTCAAGTTCTTCATCTTGTTTTATTTGAAAAAGGTAAATGATGGTTTAAAACCTGCTATATATCATAACGACACACCTGGGTAGAAAAGGCAGACAGAGAGCCGCGCTGTTCACCCGTCAGGGTCTCATGTTACTCTTTGTTCATTTCTGTCAATAATTAATTTGAATCCTTTCATTGCCTGGCTAAAAAGATTTCATTTTTGTTTTTATGCTACTGGGAGCTCTGGTTTCTCAATGATGAGGATAATCAATTGGTCTTTGTTTGATTCACAAAGCAACTCTGGGTAGATCTATTGTTAAACGCTTAATGAACAAACTCAGTGACCTCTAATATCACACTTTTCAAGTTCTGCGAAATATGGATGCAATGCTTTGGTTTTAATCGAGTGAAGATATGGCTCACCCCCCAGGGCTGCATGACCTAGGGACCAACGTGTCGTCTCCAAGCAGCTTTTCCATTTTAAATTGCATGGTCTATTATACATCTTATAGGTAGAATTAAACCTGCTTGTTGTTTTTCTTGCTGTTGTATTCATGTGTTTGTCACCAACTCTCCAATGGGACTAAAGACAGAAACCAGCAGGCTGAAATCTCTCATATATTTAAGCGCTAATGTTCATCAGTATGTATGTCCTCTTCTCCTTCAGGTCAGTTTGATTCACAATTGCCAGCCTCCACGGCGTTCAGGCAGGGCGGCCCAGATGAAAACCATCTTCATCTTTCTCCTCTTCATCCCTTTCTTTGTGGGAGCCCTGTCTATCGTTGCGTACACCGCCTGGAGGTAAACGAGCGTGGCTTTCACAGACGCTAAGTTGGGTCACAGCTTGACGGTTGCGTCATACGTGATGATGTCCTATTTCCCGCCACAGCCTGACCCCTTCGGAGCACTGTGGCCCTTTCCGGGGCCTCAACAACACATTCAGTGTGACTGGAGAGTGGATCGATGACGTGAACAAACTTTCGAGCACCCAGTGGGTTGTGTGGATCTACCAAAATGTCATCAAGAGTGAAATTTTCTACTTTCTTATCACACTCATCATCCTGTAAGCATCCGCCTGCGTTGTGCGATGTGTGTTTTATTAATTGAGTCTTCAGACGTTTTTGACATCGTTTAACTTTTTGCCATGCTTTTGTAACAGACCAACTGAAAAAAGTGCATAATAGTTATAATAGATGCATCAAGGCACAGCTGGTATCACTGTCGCCTTGCAGTAAAGAGGTCCTGGGTTCAAATCCTGGCTCTTTGCATTCATGGGTTCAACCTGATGACCTGGCTAGGATGTAGCTCGACCCTGCGACTGTGCAAGAACGACACATAAATCGGTTCATTTTTATCCATCTGCTTCACAATTGTGGATAGGTCTGTCACGTAAAATTTTACGAAAATATAAAATGTTTGTGGTCATAAAGTGATGAAATGTGGAAAAGTTTAAGGATTAGGGATACTGTTGCGAGGCACTCTGAATGCGCTGTTCGTTGATTTGGAGTCTTTGTGCAAAGTGTGAACGATCCTTGTCATGTTTCTGTCCCCTAGTGTCATCATTTACATCTTCTGGCAGCTCATTCAGGGCCGCAAGGAGCTCATTGTTCTTCTGAGAAAGCAGATTGTTAATGTAGGTTCAAATTGTCCACCTGAATGAGTGTTTGACTACTACTGATTTCATTTTGCTTTTTTTTTTTTTTTCCAGTTCATTTTGTGCCGATTTTACACCCATATCTGATTTTTTTTTTTCAGGAGGGGAACGACAAGTCCTTCCTGTTAGAAAAGCTGCAGAACCTGCAGAAATCCTGTCCGAAAGTTAACAAAAAACAGAAAAAACGGACAACTGTATGCTTTGCACATTTCTATTCAAAATTTATTTGTGTACAGTTATTTTTTTTCTTTTTTTGCACTTTACCTAACGTGTTGTTTTTCTTCAGCACACAAGTCGACGCTCAGCTGAGCGCTCCTCTGGAAGTCAGTCCAACTCAAACGCGGTGGTTCAGGTTCTACTCGCTCGCCAGCAGCTGGAGGAAGAGGAGAGACACAGTGCCAGTGGCGTTTCAGTCCCGTCGGACATTTCCACCTCTGACGCCATGATGCAGGCCATGCTGGCCCGTCAGAAAGCCGAGAGACAAGATGAAAACGTCTCCGAAGCCACTGATGGACGCCCTCCTCCCCTCGATGCCGTGGCGCAGAGCTTGGCAGCCAGACAGAGGGCTGAAGAGACGGACGGATACTGGAGCACGACCCACTTTAACCGAAGTAACCCAGTTTACAGCTCCATTATCCAAGTCAGACAAAGTGCTGAAAGGGACAGAGAAGACGATTCGCACGATGCTACATCCCCAGTGTCAAGTGCAATGATTCAAGTCATGCAAGCCAGACAGAAAGCAGAGGAAGAGGAAAGGAATCAGAGGATCTATCCTCCGGGGCAAAACGCGGCTTCTCCCGGCTCCAGCGCTCTCATCCAGGCCATGTTGGCCCGGCAACAGGCCCAGAATGAATATGATGATGGTTATTGACCGAAAGCCTCAGAAAATGGAAATGGAAAACATTATCCTATGTTGTGTTATGAATCATTTCCATTATGTCAGATATTTCATTTCTCTCGACTGAAACTTATTCAGTTCAGCCAGAAAGTAAGAGATACTGCAATTAGGGAATAAGAGCTGCAAGGTTCACCTCTTTATATGAGTAAATGTTAGTTCTAGTGTATTGTCCATGGATGTGTGTAGATGTATAGAAATGAACATTGAGGTTTAACATGTGCCATTTTAAGTGCATTTAAAAAAAAAGAAAAAAAGAAAAACGAATGTCAACTGCTTGTATTAATGCTGGTTATCTAGAACTGTTACCACTTAGAAAATAAAATAAGTTATGTTTTGCATGAACAAATGAACACTATTTAAATTAATTTAACTTAATTATCATATTTGTACAGTTGAGCATTTTATTTCTGGTATCTGTGTACTATTAATATATGCATATATTTTTACCAAATGTTAAATAATATTTCTTTGCACATCCTGCTAATTGTTTTACTTGCTATATATTGTTTATAAAAAATAAATGAAAAGATTCTGGAGATGGAACGGCGTATTCTTTTTTTTTTTTAACTCTCAAGAACTTTAGAAAGTTCTGAAAAGTGAAAGTGCAATAATTGAAACTATTATAGAAAATATTTTTTCAAAAAGTGATGATTAGCAATATAAAATGTACAGTTTATTGATGTGCTGATTATTGTAAACACAGCTTTTTTCAGAGATGTGGTCTAGCTTTTAGATTTATTATACGTTTGCTTTTGACATTGTAGAAAAGCTCTTTTAATTTAGAGTTTCTCATGTTCCACTTAAGCTTTTTTGGTAACTATGTGGCACAGTGACGGCACAGGGAGAGAGCGTATGACCCATATTCAGAGGCCTCAGTCCTCCACCCAACCGTCACGGGTCCAAGTCCCGGCCCTCTGACCTTTGCTCCATGTCTTCCTCGTCTCACACAACCCAATTCGCTGTCGGATCTCTATCAAATAAAGGTCACAAGAGCTGAAAAAAGCTTTTAAAAAAAGGATTTTTTGGTAACTAAATATTCAAAATCTACCCATGTATTTCTTTTACCTGCTTACTTACTGCAGAGTTGCATACGTAGCTCGTCCAACACAAAGATGAACAGGACAGACAACCATCCTCACACACACACTCACACTGAAGGCAGCTCAGAAGTTACCACATAGAAAGGTTTTTATGACTGGGAGGATGCTGGGGTGTATGGAGAGAACATTCAAACTTGACATAAAAACGACCCTTAGAACAAAATGATGGGTGACGAAAACCAAAGAAGCTGACAGCCAGTGTGCATGGCCAAAGTTACTTTATCAGCTCAGTTGCCCTATGTGCCACATTTCTATCCACAGCATGATAGAAAACCGTCTTGGAACTCCCGTGTTTTTAAAACCTCAATATCCTGATAGTGGTAGATGGCCTACAACTATTCTGAAGCTTCAAGTGATAAACGCTGAATAAGCATCAGTTTCAATAAACGTGCGCTTTATTCACCACATTGAAAACCCAGTTAGGCCTAATGTTTGTTCTGGTCTTTCAAGCTGACCCAGTCCAGGGCCGTGAGAAGCTGAAACACACTCGCTCCAATTGTATGGGTGACCTGACCTCAACGTTTCTTTATATGTTACAATATACTCAGTTTCACAAAAAAAAAGAAAAATAAAATACATGTACATCCATGGATGTACATGTATTGTCCATTTTTTTTCTGCCAGTTTATTTCCCCAACTTGAACCACGTGTGACTTGAAGCCGCCTGATCTGCTTCAGTTAAGGCAGCGTTGAAGAGCAAACCTGCAAGCCTCACAGCTGAACACGAAGCAGAACATATCAGCATTGTTCCTCGCCAAGAGATGCTGTGAGGTCGACAAAGTCCAATGAGGTGGTAGGTATAGGAGTCCTCCTGCCGCTTTTTAGGGACTGACTGGAGTAAACGTCCACGGATTTAGAGATGGAGTGCAAGGAGTTGTCCCGGAAGTATCCGTACGCCTCGCGTGCGTTCTCCTCCCGGATGGTCTGCTCGAAAGTCTTGCGCTTGTGTCTGAACTCGATGACGGTCTTCGTGTAGGAGTTGAGGGTGGTAACCGATGCGCCCATGCAGCAGGTGAAAGACGCCCATGCCAAGCTGATGAAAAAAACAGGAAGACAGTTTGTTTTGTAAAAAAAAGATGAGGTGTTTTTATTCTGCTGTGACAGAAGTGAAGTTTACGAGAAAGAAAACCAGAATATACTATACTCTGTACACTTATGGGAACCACACAAAAAAAATGTGCAGCAAAAACACAGTTTAGTAGCCAGAAAGCTTGTGGCTGGACTCTACAGAGGTGATGTCCCGTCATGGCACTACGCTGGAATTCACTAAGCTTTTTCCACTAATCATGATGGCAATAATAAACAATGCACAAATAATCCAAATACACAAGTTGTTCCCAAAAACACAAGCCCTCACAGATCATGACAAATTGCAAATGACATAAAACAACAAAAGTTCAGTCTGATTCAAAGCTGTCTTTTTATACAGCATTATGTAAATGTCTGTTTGCAACTGCATTAAACACATACTGTCTATAACGCACAGCAGAAGATTTATTACATAATTGCGATCATGTCTGCAGTGGGGCTTTAGACACCAAAGCTTAATCCTGCCATAAGACCTCTTGACCTCCAATGCAGACAGTAATGCTAGAGAACGGTATAGATTTACTTCCTGTAAACTTAGATTGCCAGGACGTTTAAATAAAAAAACTTGTTTTCTGGTGTGGATCTGCAGCGTCTTACCAGAAAGACCACCCATAATCCCAGTTGTAGGGCCTCCAGTCAGGTGGACCATGGCTGACGGTGACCTGGAAGACCTGCGTGTACATCACATGAGCCACCATGCCAAGAAGACCTGAGACCAAATATATAGTAGAGCTACTGTCAGACCATCTGGTACGTGTCAGAGTCAAAGAAGGTACAGAACTTCTCAGACATGGGATGGTTTGTCTCCCAGAAATGCATTTGAATACTTAAATGTAGAGTTTTACATTTTGATTGATCTTGAACAAGCTGAAGCTTACCTGAGAGCACCGTGAAGACAGCAGCAAAGGCATTGAGCTTGAGTCCATCAATTACGTTGCTGGAGTGGACCAGCTCTATGCACATGAGGCTGAAGCCCACCATCAGCAGCAAAATGTACAACATCTCAGAAACCACAGAAAGCCACAGCATTCCTGTAAAAAAATATATATATGTAATTACCAAGTGGAATTCAGTAAAATATTCATGATTAGAGACTAACAATGAACTTCAACCAATTTCTAGGCTGTAGCTTACATATACACAAACCACATTTCCAACCACTTTTTCTTACTAATTTTCACCAGTTGATCGAAGATGACCCATTAACCAAAGTACACAAAAAATCTAGGGGTGACTGTAAATCGGCTTTTAAACATATAGTACAAATCCCCCCAGCGCAATTCAGTTGTCTCAATAGCAACCCCTAGTGTCCACAGCGGAGAATGCTTACCTCTCTCTAACATATCAAATGACTATATTGAGTTTTTATATGTCAGATGAGATCTTTTTTGGCTTGAGGACATTTTGTAAAATACTTTATGTGTATGCAACATTTTGGTAGGAAATTACCTGATTATATTGGTAAAAAAAAAAAAAAAAAATTTAGTTTTGGATAGGTATGAGACAGTTCCAATCCTGTTTTACTTAAAGGTTAAAAGATCACCAACTGCCTTTAGACTCAGATTTCATTGATATGAACCTTCTGAACTGTTCAACGCCTCATTCTAGCTTCATATATTGACAAAAGAAATTACCTTTAAATTCTTATTTCACAAGAAAATTTTGCCACACACACATTTTAACTTTGAGCCAGCTTAGCAACATGGCATTATGAGGTAAATATAAGAAGAAGACAAGCCAATTCTGCCATGTTTACAGGACATTTAATTTAATTTTAATATTTTGCCTTCCGGTTTGAACCATGACCTACAAGATGCCCGTCTAAAGACTTGTAACATAACAGTTACAATGAAAGTCAAGACTTAACTGGGAATTATAAATCCAGCTTAACTTGTTCCAGGTCGAAAACTAGTGGGATTTATTCGGTGCTCATTGTCTAAGCTCATTATACAATATAAGTCTTTAGTAACACCTTGCTAGTTGGTGTAAAGTGTAACTGCTTCATGGAGAAGCAAAGAAATTCATGCAAAAATGCTCTCTTCATTCATTTAATATTTAATATTTCAGATAAAAAGAAAATCATCAGCCAAGAAAACCTGAGTAAATACAAAAGCTTACAAATTCTGATTTCATTTCGCATCTTAGTAAAAACATCCAAACCAAAACGTACAAGCTCCGTGTGAAAAAGTCAGGAGGAGTTTTGATCATGAATGGTTCGATCCAGCCCCAGGTCCTCAGTCAGATTTTGAGCTTGACCGTAAGGCTAAAAGTTGATGGTCGGACATCATGTTTTGTTATTGTTTGGTATGAGAGAATTATTCAAAACGCATCACCCTTCCACCACCGTGTTCGACTGTCACCAGTAAATATTCTGTCAGTGTACAGAATATCTTCTTAAAAAGTCTTGAGGATCACCACGATGTTTTCTGGGAAATGTGAGTTTAGCTTCTGTGTTTATTTTAGTCAGAAGGCTTAAGTCTTCTGAAAACCAATCCTGCAAAGGTTCACCATTGTTTCCATGTTTTCCCCCCTTTGGTGACAAATAACGAGCAGCACTGTTATTACTGGAGTCTCCAAACCTTCTTACAGACTAATACATCTGCAGGACTGAGAGTGATCAGGTCAGAGTGTAGCCTTTGAAACTAGACCCCCAAAATTTAGTTGATCACAGTTCATTTAACAAGGGAGGTGATTCTTCTCACACACAGAGTTAGATTGCTTTGGACAGTGTTTGTCCGTTAATAATTAAAATCATCACTTGACAACTGTACTTTGAATTTACTCAGGTTATTTTCTTTTTGTCTTATGTTCAATTTCGTTTGATGATCTGAAACATTTAAGTGCAACAACAACAAAAAAAAAACAAAAAACAAAAAAACAGCAAAGAGAATTTTACAGCATAAGTAGATAGTCACCTTTCTCTGATGCAGGAGCTAAATCGATGAAACTTCGGCATCTTTCACCTTCAAGGCAGAAAGAAAAACATACTGTCATTATGGCACTGTGTGTTCTATATGAACATATTCCACATGCGGACAAGATTGAAATTCGATAAAACTCAAAGAAAACCACCTCAGGATCACAAACAAAAAAAACATTGCAGATTTTAGTCAAGTCTTTAATCCCTTTTTAACTCCTGGTTTCAGTCCAGGATGATCTGGTGAATCCTTAAGTAAAATAAATAAATAAATAAAATAAACACAGTTCATAAGTTCAAGAAGGAATAAACTCCACGTGGAAGATAAGACATATGACAGAGATGGTCCTTTTCTGACCTCCCATTCAGTGTCACCAGATGGTGTGCTGCTGGCAGAGCTGCTCAATCTGGTCCAGAAAAGTACAGGCAGTGTAAAACCAATCACAGATGTTCAACACTGTGACATCCCTGTGGCAGTTCAACAAACAGAATAGAAAAAAAAAGGACCTCTGACACCACGTATATCTGAGCAGATTCCTTCTGTCATCAATCAGGCCTCGCATGTCGCTGGATTTGTTGTAAGTGGAACTGTTTAATCAGGTAGGCGGCAACAGCTGTTTTGAGGAAAAACTCATCAAGGCCCCGAGTTACGTAATCCTCATTAACTTGAGCTGCTCAGATGAAAACATGTCTGCAAGGAGGACATGAAACAGCTCCATTCTGGCCAGACTTTAAAAAGTCTCGCTCTTTCAGAATTATTTTCTCGCTGTCAAATAGGTTTGCTTTTCGTTTCTATGAAAAGTAAACGTAACTAGCGAACTAAACAGATGAAACTTACACATACATGTGCGAGTTCATGCCAAAACACTTGCTGTGTTTTAAGTGGTACAATACTGGCGATTGTTTTGGCCAGGAATTTAAAGTGAGATGCAACTGGTCAAAATATAATGTTGTAATTTATTGTAAAATTAACAGACTTTATTATGGTTTGCCATGTTTTAAAAAAATATCTACCAGGGTTTATCCTTTTTCTGTTCCATTAACAATAGATTACTGGAAAAATGACTATATTATAAATGGGGTGTTTTTTTTTTAACAGCAGGAAACCATAAAAAGCTACAGGCAATATTATTTTTTTTTACAATACATAACAGTATAGTGCAATATTTTTTCCTCCTGCGACTTTCTGTGAAAAAGTATGTTTTCTACAGTGCAGCTAAGATGAACAAACCAATAAACAATTTTGTCTTGTAGGGATTCCTCATGTTTTTGCAGTACATTTCTGGCAACCCCAGCTGACAGTATTTTACCATAATTTTGACTTTTTAAATTTTCTACAGTGTCTAGGATATCATAAAAGCACTATTATTGGTTTGGTCAACAACTACAAAGAAGACTAATACATAACTTTAGCTACTTTACTTTTTTTTTCAATATCTAATAAAATAAATTGCATTTATAGACTGAAAAATCAGTGCAAAAACAAAAAAACTTAGTACAGTCGGGGTAAAGGGTTTACATTTTAGAAAGCATGTGATGGCTTTAAAAACAACTACGGTCCGAAAATAATTTAATTGCGATACTAAAATAGAGCTGCAATAAATAAATACAGGATTTTATAAAACTTAAAAAGATGTGGAAAATTTGAAAATTAAATTAAACACGGGCTTTTTCAGACAGGCTTTTAAATTCTGAAAAGTACTTAACAAGAACTTTATATAACAATATACCCATATAAAATAAATAAATAAACATGTAAAGTTATGACATGACTGAAGACACAAAAGTATGCACTCTGAAATGCTTGTCAACTTCCCAGAATCAAACTCGGTTTTCTCAATCACGCCGGAGTGATCTAGTCAACGTCCACGCAGCCCCACACACAGACCTGCTCTTACTTTCATCGTGGATGTTCTCCTCGCATGAGTACCAAATGCCGGTGTGAAACTGTCGGAACAGGAACCTGTCGTCCCCGGTCTCCCAGCTGTACACCACCTTGTTGGGGTCCGTTTCGTTCACTCCGTAGTCTATGCACTGGTGCGTCCGCAGCTTGCTGCATTTGGGCTTGGGCACGCGCTGCGTCCCCACGCACCAGTAAGTGGTGATGAAGGCGGTGATGGCGAAGAGCAGGGCGAAGAAGTTCAGGCTGACCGACAGGAGGGTCCTCGTCTTCATGGTCCGCGTGAAGGATGCACGAGCCTCAGCAGCGTCAGCGGCGCGCGGAGGACCCAGAAGTCCATGGGTGCGAGGTGGAAGAGACGCACGAGCGCGCCGGATGAAAAGACGGTCCCATCGGACACCCCGAAAAGTTGCCAGATACTGTCCACGGACAGGCTACATCTCCAACAAGGAGCTCGGACGGGAGACAAAGTGACTCATTTCCGCCTAATTCACACGCGTTTCACCACGAGCCTGCTCGGACGTCACGTTGTCAGAGGATTTGATGCTCGTTTGCATCAGTGTGGGATTTTCTCCTCGTGCTCTCCTCTGGCTGCCGCTGTCATTAGGACCTTCCTCTCCCTCAATCCGTCACAATCTGCTTGCCAAATGCAGGCGATTATCAGAGCGAGAATAGATGGAACCGAACCACAAGACATGGTTCCATTTTTATTTTATTTTATGAAAGTTGTCCATGTAATGAGTAATAACAGGCGTCATCATGGTTTTACTATTTTATCAAGTTAATTATTGTTTTATGTTTTATTTTTTCCTGATCACAAAGTGGAAATGTTAAATGGTTTTTGCAAAGCCACCTTTAGATGCCATTATAGCAGCAAGACTTTTGAGCTTTATCTGGATTTTTGCTCTACTGATTCTTCTTCCCTATTCCCCCCCCCAAAAAAATAGTTCAAGCTGAGTCATATTAGAAAGGCTTGCCACTGATTACAAAATCAGTCTGGGTAGATCTGGACTTTGACTTGGCCATTCTAACACATGGATATACTTCGTTTCTAAACATTTCACTACAACTACAATGTCGATGCCATCGTCCTGCTGGATGGTGAACTGTCTCCAAAAGTGCAGTTTTTTTTTTTCCTGTTCTTGAACAGGTTTTGTTTCCTGGGTTACCATGTGAAGAGCCTTTCATCTTCCCATCATTTTGGACCAGCCTCCCTTGTCATTCTTTTGAAAAGCATTCCCACAGCATCATGGTGCCACTCAGGGTGCTCGGTGAAATAAAACTGATAATAGACCTGAAGCCAAGAGAAATGAAACAGCATTTCACCCACTTTGGTCTCTTTTAACAAAAGTTGGAAACTTCAGGTTGCCGCGAACGCGTGATTCAACATGTCCAGACTGGTTTGGATAGATTTGTTATCATATCAAATAAAATCATCACTTGAAAACAGATTTTTGCCTTCACTCTTATTAATCTTTGTCAGTCATTGTCTTACATAAACATTTACTTTGTATTATCACATTTAAATGTGAGAAGAAGAAAAAAAGAAGCAAAAACAGAAAAATGTGTAGTGGGGAAAAATACTTTCTCATGAATGTTGGTGATGATGTGTGATTTTTGTCTTTACTTTTTTTTTATTAAACAAAGGAGTCAAAACTTGTAACATCTTACTGGTGGAGACGTCCATCCAGTTCTTTCAAACTGAATGTAATCATGAGCACAATAGTCGGTGGTAATTAATCCCAGGGCAGATGTGTGTTTGCCTATAGATAACATCGGCATAATCCCAAACCGACAAGAATGAAGGGAAATTAGAATCCGACCAGAGAAAGACGGACCAGGACAGAGGGAGAAGATAAGGAGGACGAAGATAAGGGAGGAGGAAGGCTTAAGGGAAATGAATCTGCAGCAGGTATTCACTGTGAATTAAAATATAACACTCAGCAAGACCAAATTAAAAATGCTACACTTTGACTTTTCAGTGATTCCTGATTATACAATGTTCAAGAGTGTGCGTCAGCAGTCCGCTCTCATGACTCTGTGGCATTAACTAAACCTATTAAAAGTCCTTGCACACTAATTATTTTTAAATCCCCCACACAGAAAGCATTTAAAACTTTTTCTCCTTGAGCCCAGCTTAATTTCTGAGTATTTTTCGGAGAAGCTGACCTGTGTGGCTCCGCCGTTCGGCGGGAGAATCTGGGCGGTGTCCATCCGTTTCCTGCAGGCTAAACTCGAGGAGACCTGCTGATTTTCAGTGTGAACTCTGCGGCACCAAAAGGTGATGACAGAAATCATCTAAGCTGGTATTTATAACCCCGATATAAACTGGGTCGTCTGACAGGTCCAACATGCGAGCTACCTCAGCGGTATGCCGACATCTTTAAGCCCAGAGGCTAATTCTTGCTTCAACGCCTCGATGAAAACTCTTAAATCAGGTCAGGACTGTCGGCTAAGGTGCTGCAAATACTGAAGAACAAGCCGCTAGTGATACTGGCAGTATTTAAGATTTTTACTAATGCACTCCCATGAATATAAACTGACTATTATAATAGGCATTACATTAGTCAAAACCTTTCAGACCAGCAACAAATGTCACCAAATGAATACAGTTAAACCTAAAATTAGTCGTACAATTAGAATATATATATATACTGCTCAAAAAAATAAAGGGAACATTTCACTTTAATTTTGTGTGTGGCTCCAAATCCAGGCCTCCATTGGTTGATAAATTTGATTTCCATTGATGATTTTTGTGTGATTTTGTTGTCAGCACATTCAACTTTGTACAGAACAAAGTATTCAATGAGAATATTTCATTCATTCAGATCTAGGATGTGTTATTTGAGCGTTCCCTTTATTTTTTTGAGCAGTGTATATTGCATTTAGGCATTAAATTTAATTCTGAATGGATTTAATTCTGAATGGAACTGACATATCTTCCAAAGGACAATAAGACAACATAAGAATATAATTGTAGAAAAATAATGACAAATAGGCATTAGATTAGTCAAACCTTTCAGACACTTGCAGATCAGCCTCTTGCATGTTTCCACACGTGTTTTGACTATTTATCTTCAGTGACGCGCTCCAGGCCATTAAGGCCTCCTCGTCGTCACTCTAACCTTCAGCTTCCTTCATAATTTGTCTTTCACATTCAAGTTGGGACACTGTCTGGAAACATGTTTGTAAAAGTAAAAGACAACTTTAAGCCTAAATTCGACGGGGTTATGGATAACTTGTGGTTCTCTACTAACCATTACAAAAAATCTATCAATTGAAAATCATCTTCTATTATCGTCAGCAAAAATATGTTCACCTCTTGGAAAACAAAAATATGAAAACTGACAACATTTTTTTAAAGGGAATTAAGAATTAAGATGCTGACAGGCAGTCTCTCAAATCCACCTCTTATTCACATTTAGACTTAAACAGGCATTTTTCTTTGGACATTATCGTCGTTCACACAAAGCCATGTTGTCTTTTCTATGTGTAGTCAATGAACATTCCCTATTGGATAAGGCTCTCCCATTGTCAATGTACAAAGTATAAACAAAAGGGGAACCAGTGACTATTACAAACGTTTAAGTGTGAAATTAGGCCACAACAATAAATATCATGGTATTTAATAGATCTTTACCAGGGGTAAAGATCTATTAAATCGGTATGTTTCAGACAGCACAGTTAGGTCATGGACTCTGCTACTTCAAGACGTAGTTTGTCTCTTCAAGTGACCCAGTAGTCGCTGCCACCAGCTGACAAGAGCCTTATGCCATATCAGCAGCACGCTGGAAGATAAACACCGCTTATGATGTCCATGTGGGTGGTCAAAGGTTGTCTCTTGGGTTTCTGGCTATAACAGGAAGTTAATCCGAGCTCTCTGGTTGACACAGTTGAAGTCGTTTCCCGCAGTGTGGTGTAATAAACGTGGACGCACTCACTGATCCTGTGAAAGAAAAGGAAACCAGATGAAGAAAGCGTCACACACACGTCACAGACACAGCAGAGGAACGCGTCCGGTAATGATTTTGAAGCACTAAAAAGGGGAGGAAAAGTTCTGATTATAAATCAAGTGTTTTATTGGCTAAAGCGACAAAAATGAAGGTTAGGACTGACATAGATATTTCTTTTCTAGATTATATTTTTGCATTCACAAAGTTATTTGGGGGAGAAAAAAAACCCCTAAAGGGTTCACAGAAACTTTGCTTCCAGAAGAATCAGTGTTTGAAAAGGATTGTCTTTTGGCCTTAAAAATATTAACTTGACTTGTAAAATCTGTTTTGCACAGATTTGCTTTTGTTTCATAATCTTGGTTCCAAGCTTGTCTACAATATGTTTTATTAAGTTTTATTTACATGCAGTTAATTCAAAATAGTACCTATATTTTCCACATTAGTACTTTCTGCATTTAATAAATGACATAGTTGTCATTCAGTTATTAAATTCTTCAAATGAATTATATTGAATTCATTTAATATATTCACTTCCACTTTTAAATCTAAATAGCCATGTATATTTTTATTTGCTCACATTTGATTGCATTGTGGCACTTCAGACACTCTTTTGCATTCAGTTCAATGTGAAAACAAACGTATACTGTTGTGAAGTTACTTGCGTTTCAACAGTTTATCCTCTTGCACTAAAAACAGAATCACACTATTAATAGCAACATCTGATCATTTAGATAAAAAGAGCAACATATTTCACACTGAAATCTTACATAAGATACAGATGCCAGAACCCAAAATAGATTTCTGCGGCTGTTGGATTTCAACTGATGCCTTAGATTTCTCCTTTTTTTTTTTTTTTAGTTGATAAAGTGATGACACATTTCCTTGCAGCTTTGCCTAAGTCTGGAACTGAGAGAGAGAGAGAGAGAGGGAGACAGAGAGAGAGAGAGAGGGAGAAAAAAAAAAGATGGAAAGTTTAAAATTTCTAAATCTCTTAGCACGCGAAGCCGTAGCTTTGACATGCATAAAGAAGGCCAAGCATGTAAATGCAGAGATTAAACAACGGTGCATTTATTTCCTCTTCATGAGATCACATCATATCCATGTGCAGTGGGGCCTCAAATCCCCTGCAGCGGCTCGGCTGCAAATTGAAAAGTGCACAAACTTATCCCGGGTTTTCTGCGCTGTGCATGAGTATCGATGCCAGGGGAGATTAATTGCTGTCACAGTGTGTCGCTTGATTTCCCCTTCGATACCTCAAAAGTGCCTCAGAGTGGGGCGCATCAAACTCTGGGCTCGTGAAAGACACAGACTTCATTTGTATTTTAGGGGCAACTTCTGCTCAAAGCTGATAAGAGTAGAATTTTCCTCTTAACACGTTGCCCCTTAGGATTAGTCTTTGTAATCTGCTATTCACTGATCCTCGAAATCATACTGTCTGCTCTAAAATCAGCTTACAGTGTCAGTAGATGTTGACTGAGTGGTTTTATCATTGTGGTCGTGCGTCTTTACATCTGCGGTGATGAATGATGGGGTTGTACGGGGAAGGGGGGGGGGTTGTTTGGGGATAGCTGTTGCCTCCAATCTGCACAGAGGACATGTCACCTACTGTTGTGACAACACGCTATATGCATCTCTTTATTTTGCTCACGCAATCCTTCGCATTTCCACTAATACCCGACAGAGTAAAGCCGTTTCTCACACATATCCTGACAGATGCCTGGCATTTGATTATTTACGGCAGGAAAACATCAGCCGAGCTCCCCTGTCACTTGTGGGTTTTCTTTTTTTTGTTGTTTCTGTTGCATGCATGTTTGTAAAGTGGAGTCAGAGCTGAAATCAGATATTCACAGTATAAAAAGACATTCTTTTCTCCCTCTCTGAGATCAAATCAAACGAAACATTTCTTGTTTTAGGTTTGCCTCCCAAATCTGACAGGGCAGATTTGCCAATTTTTCGAAAAAAAAAAAAAAAATGCCCACATTACACCAACCTAGTGGATAATCTGGTCGTGACATTGAAAGATGTGAACATAGCTTTCAGTTTTTACCAATCAATTTGGCCAAATATCTCAATCTGTGTGTCCTCTGACCATGACTTTTCTCCACAAGGCATTTTAGTTTTTCTGGTGTCGATGTATATTTGGGATCATTCTGTCCAAGCTGTGACCCAAAGTGTGACCTCGGATGAAAGGAAAATGGTTCAGGATATAAGGGGACAATCCAGAAACTCTCACCAATATAACGTGCAGGATGCAAAGTTTCAGCAGACAAATTTAACATTGGAAGGAGTGAAGGCAAGCTTTCAAATCTAAGGATTTGAGGAAAAGCAGCAAAAACAATTGTATATATTTTTTTCTAAACTCTTTGGAATAGTTGCATTTTCAGTCCAGTTTGTGGGGTG